TACAAAAATTTTAAATTAAAAAAAAATATATTTATAAATTTATATTCATATAAAATTATCGAGAACAATACGTATATATTTTTATAGAATAGTAAAAATGAGAGTTTTAAAACATTTATATTGAGTATTTGATAATAAGCCTTATACATTTACTTTATTATTAAAGGTAACAGGAAATAAAGATGTTTATTCAAGAGGGAAATTTTGGAATTTACACCAATCTTATTTTGAAAAAAAATTATTATTGGCACTTATCCCATTCTACACTCATTTATTGTAAATCTTTATAAATAAAAAATACATAAATATCCAACATTTAACACAATTCTGCGCATTTTATATTCACCTTGGTTTGGTAAGTATCACGTCTTTTATTATTTAAAGCTAGTCTTTGGCGAATTTTATTGTTAAAATATAATCTATACGATTCTTATATTAACTGAGATATTTATACATTGAGTGACCAGAGGGTTGGCACCTGTTTAGTGCCTTTACTGTGTATTTGGGATACACACAAAACCCTTAATAGCCGCAACTTCGAAATTTGCGCGAGCAGTCAGGCGCAGGCGATCGGCAGATCCAGCCCTACCATAGGGCGAACGTAGCAGCCGCCCTATGGTAGCCTTCATTGTGTCTTCGGGATAGGCACAGAAACATTAACGGCTACAACTTAGGAATTTGCGCGAGCGGTCACGGGCGCGGGTGATCGGATTCGGGATGGAGGAGAGTTGAGAGACGGCGGATCGGAAGTGAATCTCTCGGATACAAGGGTAACAATTAAAATAACTCATTTAATTCAGCTAAAAAGAATAAGGTCGAGAGAGAGAATTTACAATAAACCACAATTTGGTATAGATGCCTTTGATGCACTTAAAATTATGAACTTCCTGACGGACGAACTTCGGTCGGTCGAAAATCCAACAGCGGTTGGAGAAGTGCTAAATTTGCCCCTTCCTTTGGAACGGCGGTCGAACCGATGAGGATCCGAAAGATATAATAATTCCTATCGATGAAAGTTCGAAGGTATTCCAAAAGGGACACAGGGTATGCAATTCTTGGTCGCCTGGGCGACGACGATTTTTCTTCTTTATTCGTTGGGTTACTTGGTTGATGCGCTCCAGGACTCTCTCGACGACCCCCTTGTCCATGCAGCAGTCCTTTTGTACCTATAAAAGGAGTGTCGCAAGGACAAAGGGATCGTCGAGAGAATTCTCGAGCGCATCTATCTAGTATCAACGTCAAAGTCAGGTTATCATTTTTCATCAATTGAAAATATCCCAGTGACACATCCGGTGAGTTTTTCTGGCAAAGGAAACGACTCCGGGGAGAGACATGCGATTATCCTCCGGTAATAAAATTAGAAAAACTTTCGAATGACAAAAAATGAATTCTCTCTCGCAGTTTTAATTTTTGTCAAGTCCGACTCACAGTTATCACCAAACTTTTGTCGTCAATTGTCTGTTTTTAGTACAAGTGTCGAACGTCGCTATATGTTTTTACAACCCACAAAACATAAAATAAAGTTCTACCTTTTTGTGGGTCGGTTCGCTTTGCTTGGCTCACTTGTTTTCTGTATAGACTATATACAACGAGAATTTCGTGACGATCGTAACGAGGTATTTCGTTATCACGTGCTCTGCTAAATGGACTCGAATGCATAAAGCGAAGTTTCTACGCATAATCCTTAAGTGCCACCTTACAATCTAAATGAATACGTGTAAATTCAGAAGGGACGGGCTTCTGTAATAATGTTTCGAGAAAGAAAGAAACCCGTTTGTCTAAAAAAAATTTAAACCGATAATCATGCTGTCATTTTAAAATACTTACTCGTTGAATATTTATGAAGTTATTCAATTAACCTACGAAATCAAAATTGCCTGTTTAGGTTCGACGGGATATACTACGTTAGAATATCTTAGATAATGTCGTTCGTCCCATCCGAAATTATCCATTGAATTTCTATAAATCGATTAATTTGTGTCTAAATTCGATTGCTGGCCTTACATGTCGTTCCATCAATTGAAAAAAAATATATATATATATTATCGGAGTAATTAACTAAATATAATTCTTACAAACAAAGATAGAATTTTAAATATATATTACGAAGTCTTGCGGCAGTTAAGTTTAGTGGTTTCGATCACGTGTCATCACAACCTGTCTAACACGGATCGTGTTAGACAGGTTGTGAAATGTTCATAAATGTGTTAGATTGGGCACTTGGTGTGATAAACTCTTACGTGTGATAACTATTCTGAATATAAATCAAATACTGTAATGGAAGGGTTAGAAGTACGAAATAATCTGATTATCTTAATATTTTATGTTTTGCTTCAGGTCACTATTGTTTTTCCTTAAATTTACTTAGTATTTTCTTTGATTATATAACTATTTTACTCTAATATGCGTGGAGAAAAGTACAAATAACTTTGATTTAAATATTTCAATTTAAAGAACAGAAAAATGACACTAGAATTTACAACATTCTTAACATAGTAAGTAGATGGTATAAATGCCGTTCTTTTCGTATTACTCTACGACGGCTGATGGGCCTAAACTGGAGTATAAGTGATATTGTGTACTATACTTGTTCTATTGTAGTGGTAGGTGCTGTAGCAATATGTGAAACATTCAAACCCTACTCCTGTCCTGTCTGTACAAGCAGGATAGGAACTTGTTAAATAAAATATATTATACACTGATAAATTTATAAGTATTAGCACTTTGACGATCGGAAAACAACTGTAACAATACATTCCTTTACGTGACTTATCAAAAACTCGTCTTATTTTTGAACACGAATTACTGAATTGTCAATTTGCTACTTGAAATGATAAATACTTTTAATTAAGCCAACTCTAATTATCTTTAATAGTAAATAAATTCATTTAAAATTAACGTATTTATGAATATTTTCCAAATTATTTTCGTGTCCCAAATTAATAGCTTTAAATTGTTTAAATTATTTTCAGTTTTATCGACATTTTTCGACAATGAAAACCCACAACGTGACGATTGCAGTCGAACCGTTTTATTTCGAAAGAACCTTTTTTAATCCTGATTTTGTCAGATATTTCTTTGGAAATTATTGGCATTATTCCATCTACATCTCTATCATCTACTTGATGACCATCAAGATCCTTCAGCATCACATGAATGATCGACCTCCTTATAACTTCAAACGTGCCTTTACGATTTGGAATGGACTTTTGGCTATTTACAGCATTTGTACTATTATAAGAGGAATTCCAGTTCTGTACGAGGCATTTAAGCAACTAACATTTTATGAAATCATATGCGATAAGAATTTGACAGAAAATACACCAGCGATCTTATTCTGGACAGTTATATTTGTATTTTCTAAGGTTTGGGAATTGGGAGATACAATTTTCATAATATTAAATAAACGAAATTTGATGTTTCTTCATTGCTATCATCACGTAATGACGGTTATTTTAACGTGGTATGCTGTATTCAGAGAGTCCAGCTATTTAACCACCGTCATCTACGTCAATACTTTTGTACATTCGCTGATGTACAGCTACTTTACTCTAAAATGCATGGAAATAAAGATATTTCCAATTGTTGCCATGTTGATCACAGTTATCCAAATTACACAAATGGTATATGCCTTTCTGCTTACCAGTTGGATTTATTGGCTACTCATAAATGGACATCCATGCGATACTCCATTGGATGTGTTAAAATTTTGCTTTCTTTTATTTATGTCATACTTGTATTTGTTTACAGATTTGTTCCATAAGTCTTATATTCGTAAACTTAGGAGAAATAAAAAGGAAAATTAACTATAATACAGCATTATTATAAGTAACAGTCAAGCTATTAACGTAACAAAATCTTAATAAATGTTCATAAATGACCGAATGTCTGTCTCACTAACAACTTTTATTGTATTACCCATGAAAAGAATAAAGTTTAATTGGAAATTTTCAAGTTACTTTACTTAGATTTTAACGTATCTCTAAGCAATTACGTTTACACCCTTCTAACTTAGACAACGTCATAAATATCACTCCAAAATATCCATTGTATATCTACAATTAATTAGCGAGTACTGTACATTTAATTTTCTGGGATTACACGCAGTATCATGTATTGAGAAAAATTTAAGAAAACAAAATACAATTCTTTAAAAAAGGATATAATTTTAAAAAATTATATATTGTATTTACATAGTTATTACGAAAATGATATAGCGCTATATCATTAATGAAACAGGTAGGACACCAGTGGCATGCAGTGAAGCCGCTTCCCTTGTATTTTCTAAAATATAAATACATATTGTGCGATTATTTTTAAATTTTAACGTACTTGGAATTACTGAAAATTAGTATTTTATTACAACCTTATTATGTATTTTATCACAGATTTCTATACATGTGAAAAAAACACCGATAAGATTGCTGTTGTATACTCGAATATAAATTCGTGTATTGTAAATTCCCAATAGAAAAAGTGCTTTTAAAACGCCTTAACGACTAATTTTTTTAAAAAAATATAAATTTAAATAAACGTAAAACATACTTAAAACTGAAAAATAACTAAATGAATGCGTCAATTCCGAAGGGAAAGCTTCGAATTTAACGCTCTGTCTCGAGTTGCCAAGAAAAGTAGCACAAGGATTTTCTCTGTTTACAACTAGGTGACCTTGACTACAGCTTGTTACTCTATCCTGGGGCATTCTCCTGTACTTTTCAGGGTAAGATGAATTTAATGCATTTAAGAAAAGACGGACGTTGTGTTTTTTTCTCACCCGTAGCCTTGAAGTTTTCTAATTCGTATTCGAGATGCGTTGCAGTGCTTCTTTTGCTCTCAAGTATTCTTGATTTGTCTACCTATCTCGGCTGCTTTAATAGACGTGTCAGGCTCATAGCCCGATAATTTGGCAATTATTTTGGCTTTAGTAATCAGGTTTATGATGAAAAACTTTAAACTTGCAGACTTCGTACTCGATTGTATCCTTGCCCAATTTGCACAACCTGGCACAATGCTGTTATTGAAGCTACTGGGCATAGTTAAAATTTCCGGGATTTAAAAGACAGTCAGAATCCGGTTTGAAAAACACTAACTGACACACAATTAACTGAATGACCATGGAAGTTGGCTTCTTACGGAAACACAGCTTCCCTATCATCAAATGTCACAGCATGTCACTGTAGCACGAAGTATTACTCAGTGAAAACTGTAAAGAATAAGACCGAAAGTCATTGGATATCGGTATTTTTTACGAAAGAAAAAAAATTCTTGCTTTTACTACGATAGTTATGGATTAATACGGATGAAAACAAACATTATTAGAATTGTAAAACGAAATTTAATATCGAGAATTTAAATAAAGATGGATTCGTACCCAAACAAATGACTCTACGTAAAACACTTCTAAATATTGGGTAATGGGTTCTTGCTTCGCTAACGGCTAGACGTTGGCGAAGCAAGAACCCACTACCCACACCTATTTTCATGTGGCCTACAGAGATCTCACCATTTTGCTACAGAAACTCGTGTGAGGAAGCACGACTCCTTAGCAGTTTTCTTGTATTGAGTTGCCGTTTCTCTTCAATTTAATGCAATCCGAAAGTTCCGTGGTATAAAGTGCAATGTTATTTAAATATATATGACATTATTCTACCAGTGTTATTTTAAGATAGTCACATGATTTATAACATACATACAAGAAAGACATCGGCATTACACCAAGTCTTTACCCAGCAAAAAATGGGGTAAGGGAAACGGGATGGGAAGAAGGAGAGATAAGAATTAGACAATAGAGAAAGGTAGGATCCCTCTGAAGAACGTACATAAGACTACAGTACCCTCTATGCTTGATGTTGGCGTGCAGTTTTTAGGCTGCAAAGCCGTAGTCCTCCAAAAGGTCTAAAAGAAAACCTGAGTGTAGTAAACACCAATAATTGAGTGCCGCTAACGAATAGCTAAGTGTAGAAGTTACGGCCAAGTGGCTGTTAGTACGAAGACTTATATCTACTTAATAAAACTAAACGCGATCGCGAATCTTAATACTATTTAACAGTTAGACAGGTAGCACGAAAATCAAACGAACACAATGACAAACTAGACCAGATGAACGGACCGACAGAGACAAATGAGCAAGACCCCAATTTTTTTTTCAAACATTTACTCACTAACTAAGCTAACCTACCATAACTTAGGACGAACCCAACCAGACCACTGAAGCTAACAAAACCTAATCTAATTTAACATAACCGGAAACCCGAGCTAAGAGTCCCTGATCTAACCTACAACTAGGACTAACCGAATTTAGACTGAAAAACAAGACAGAATATAAAAATTAAAATACAGAGTTGAAAGGCAGCTAGCTATAAACCGACAGTTGAAACAAAGCAAAAAAAAACCTAATTGCCATCCGTGACCCCGGAGTGAGTGCTCTCAAAAAGCCACTAAGAGATACGAACGTAAGTAGATGATAAAACATTGTATGCGTGTGAAAGGAGTTGATGCGGGTTGCAAGGCAAGTTGTACCCTTCAAGAATAGCAGCTCTCGTTAAATTATCCCTAATGTGAGTGTACCTATTACAGTGAAAAACTAAGTGAAGTGGTGTTTGCTACTCCTGAATATCACAATAGCATTGTGGATTGTCCCCAAGGTTATATCTATGCAAGTATTGCTTAAACTTGCCGTGTCCTGTAAGCAGTTGAGTGAGGGGGGTAACTAAAGTAAAAGTGGCAAAGAACTGCAGTAGTGTGGGGATGAAAGTGTAGGTGAGCCTACCAGTGGTGTCACGGTCTGGCAAGAGTATGAAGATTTGCTTGTTTACGTGATTGTTGATGTACGAGGTAGGAATGTAACTGAAAGTACTAGTGACTGAAGACTTTGCAGCTTGTTTGGCAAGACGGGTCAGCGATATCGTCGCTGAGAACCCCATCTGACTAGGGACCCACTGAAAATCTAATGTTACTGCCTAAGTGTCTGAGTGGTGTATGAGATGGATGAGTTTTAAGTGGCTATCAGACTTTGCAATCCTGTATAAAGCTACCCTACTGTCAGAATAAATATGATAGTGTAAGTAGTGTCTTTTGTCTTTCCTACACCTAATGTGAATTAAACTCATATAAATAGTTAAAGCTTCCGCCTGTGGTATTGAGCAGTGAGTACTTTGACGGAAGCAAGCGTTGTGAAACTCGCAGCCTATGCCAGAGTGAACTACAGAAGCGGCACCCACATCACATCTTCACCCATATTGAGACCATCAATGTAAATCCGAAACATGAGACGATCACCTGGATCTTCGAGTAGATGTCAGGGGCAAGCTGATGGAAAGGAAGGGTGGTAATCATAAGTCGGGAGGGTATTTTTGTCGATGCTGAATTTTTTGATTTCATCGATCAAGGTCAAACTGCGGAGAATCTTACCTACTCTAATCATTTTGTTGACATCCGAGTCATTATAATCTCGCCAGGGTAAGGTGACGAGATTTTCCTGCCAAATAATGTGTTTCATTTTTAAGTCGATAGGGATCAACCCTGACATTACCAAAAGCAACTTTTTCTTATAAAGACTTGAGAATGGTCTACAAAAGAGCACACAATATCTATAGCTTGTTACAGAACGATAAAGACAGTGTAAAAAAGGAAGAGAAAGCTGGGATATATCAAAATAACATTTGAAAATCAACAGTTAGGAATAGAAAAAGATTATGTGGGTGTACTAGAAGAAACCTGGCAGTACGTTTGCGAGAACAACGTTGATACAATATTGACAAAGGACACAACAACACAATATTAGCGATTATGGGGCAGACTAAAGGAGCGATTATAAAATGGGAAGAGGCAAAGGTCATTAAAACTGTGCATTCTCCATCCATAGCGTTGGAGATAGAACGGTCGAAATTTATAAAAGTAAAATGACAAACCGTTGCCTAAATCAGTGTTCCGCAACCTTTTTCTACTCACGGCACACCCATGACTCGAAATGACTCAACACTGCACACCAAAATGTTATTCCCCTCAAAAACGTATATATGATATGATACTATTAGTGGAATTTCGTAATGCCATAAACCTATTATTATTATTATTGAGTTTTGTCAGTTATACTCGGTTGACACCGAATGGCTGTGTACTATGCCGGACCAGAGTCAAGGCATAGTAACCAAAACAAGACAAAAATTAAATAAGTATGTCAGTTTGTGTCTGTATTCAGGAATTTCCTAACAATATGACATGCATTCAATATAGTGGCCTTCTGTAGTGTGATGTGTGTTTCTATTCAATTTTAATGTTTCCAGGCTTTTGTGTAGTGTGTGTGGTATCACACCTTTAGAGGAGAGAAGGACAAGTACAATAAGCACCCTATCCATCCTCCATAGATGCTTTATTTCCTGGGCGAGTTCTGTATACTTGCTGATTTTTTCACTGCATGTGTTTTGTACATTGTGAGTGTTTGGAACAGATATGTCTATAATGTATATGATTTTATTGTGTTTGTCAATGAGTGGGATGTCTTGTCTGTTGTGGTAAATTGTTTTATCTGTTGTAGTACATTTCGTGCGTGTTGTTTTCCAATAATATCTGTGGAATATACTTGTAGTATGGTTCGTGGATGTCTACCAATTTGTGTTTCTTTGTAAGCTCTTGCAACCAGAAGTGATGTGTTGTATAGTTTCTGGCATAATGTGACATTTTCTGCATGTGTCGTTTGTGATGGTTGTGTTTCTTTGTAAGCTCTTGCAACCAGAAGTGATGTGTTGTATAGTTTCTGGCATAATGTGACATTTTCTGCATGTGTCGTTTGAATATGTGTTTTCTGTAGTTTTTAGTATTTATGTCCGGATCCTGTATGGCAATCATAAATCCTTCCGTCTCCCCAAAGAGGCATCCCCGAGCTAACCAGCTGTTTGACGCAGTTTTGTCAACAAAATCCTGGGGTTAGTGTATTATTTGAGTCTGTTAGAATTACTGCTTTATGTAACTGTGATCTTTCTTGTTTTTCGTAGAAAAACTCTCGGAATGTCTGTATTTGTTTGTAGTGTAGATTAACTATGTCGATCAGGCCACGTCCGCCATTTTTAGGTGAAAGAGTTAATATTTCTACGGCAGATTTAGGATGATGTTGTTCATGCTTAGTAAGTGTTGTTCTTGTTTTCATTTGGAGTTGCTAAAGATCTGTGTGAGTCCAATATATAACTCCAAAAGAATAAATGAGTACTGGGACGACATATGTGTTTTATTGCTTTAACATCATCTTATTTCATCAGTGAATGAAATAGAAGCATAAGAAACAGAACAACTGTGAGAAAAATAAATAAATAAAGCCTGAAATTAATAGAATCATGTAAAAGTTCACATCACACCTTTCACCTTGTGATGGTACACTGGTTGCAGAACACTGGCCTAAATGATAAGAGATGCTAATGTGATACCAACAGCAAAGAAACATATAATAGAAAAAATAATGGGGCTTTAAAACTTTAAATGGTGTTTCTTTCTAGTTAGCTTTGTTTTCTATGTTTTATTTGTTTGTTTATTTAATATGTACACTTCTTTCAATTTATTTTAAACTTAAATTAATTTTCGAAAACAGTAAATTCCATTTTGGAACATTTATAATACAGTAGAGCCTCAAAAACTCGGCCTAATGTGGACCGAAGAGTGGCCGAGTTTGTGAAAATGCCGGGTTATCGGGAATGGGGTTAAAAAAGGATAAGTATGCGTGTTTCCTCAGAAAATATTGTATTGTACTTGTATGTATTGTTTACTTGAGAATACAACAGAGAATAAACTGCCCAAATACCCATAAACAAAGCAAAAGTACGTCCTTTATGAAGGCATAAAGCCTTTACTACATGAAAATGAAAATTAATGAATACACTGTGTAATTTACCTGATAAGACAGACCTCAGAAAAATACTTTACGAGAGCTTTTATACTTTTATAAAGCTGTCTATAATGAAAATTAATTAACTAACAATTTTTTTGCCCTGCCAAGGTGTGGCCGAGTTATCGGGAGTGCCGGGTTATCGAGTGCTGAGTTTTCGAGGCTCTACTGTACTGTATTAAACCTGACGATGGCCTATATTTGAAAGGTTAATAAGCTCAGCAAAATTAGATGTTGGTGAAACAACTGATAACTTCATTTTTATTTCCCATTTTTTTTTTTCGCAGTAATTTATCTTTTGGGAATGTGTGCATATGTACTGATTTTGATGAACCTTTAGACTTGCATCCAAATACACAGCAATATTTATTATTTACCATTATAGATTCAACACTGATTCTAACAAACCACAGACTTTATACCCATAGCAGCCGCCATTATGCAGTTCGAGCTAATACAGCTAGGTGTTAAATCTATCTTTGGCACAAGCGAATGGCAATCACCATCCTGGACTTGATGTCCATACCAAATCTGATTGAAAAAATGAAATTTGCTCATTCAGCTCAAAAGATATAAAATATTCAATACAAAATTTACTAATAGCAATAACCGGATTGTGACACAAAATTTAAGTCTTTAGATTCTTTCCTTCTACGCCACAGAAACACAAATCACATCTTGGTGGACAGGCAGTTACTGAATTACTTCTGTAACCTCCTGTTCACCTAGATGTTGTGTTTTATTCCTACTATTGTGTAAAGGTTGTCTTCGAGTTATAATTATCATTTTGAATAATTGAATAAAGCTTAATGAACAAAAAATGATAGTCTGCCAGTGCCGTAACTAGGCAGGTGCAACAGGTGCACCTGCACAGGGCCCATCTGGAAGAGGGTCCCAAAATGTACGGTGTTTGTTTTATTATTTTCCCAAACCTAATTAATTAAGGGGCCTAAATGCAAGTTCCTGCACAGGGCATAGCAATGGCTAGTTACGGCACTGCTGTCTGCTGTAATTTGTATCATACTGGTCGATTTGACAGGATAAGGCAAAGTGATGCGACACAAATAAGACCTGCCATAGGCAAGTGTCTCCTGGGAAAATTTTCTACGACAAACTGGAATGAACCCGTGACCAACTATTAGTGTTTGGTGGTTTTTCCCGTTTGGCCACTGGCTGGTGTAATGTACCATTCAACAAATTTTAAGCAGTGGATGAAAATACTAGGTAAATAAATGACCATATCAAATGCTTGAAACATTTTATTCATTGTATAGGCAAGGAAATTAAAGTTTTTAGTACCAAATTTAATTTTGCCATGGAAATTGTTTTTACGACATGTGCATGAATTTTCATTAAATGACATTAATCAACATAAAAAATATTTTTATATATATGTTTTTGAGGTCAAATAGCATATAGATTGCTAAACATAAGAGATCTAAAAGAATTTTTTTTTTTAAAACTTAAAATTACTTTTCTAAAACATTTGGCATAAAAAATAAAAACATGACAATATACATATTATGTATAATATATATATATATATATAACAGCTAATTTGAAATTAGCCAGAAATGTACAACATAAACATCCTTTCAAGGATGAATAAAGCGAGGAGAAAACAACAGTTAAAGCAGTAATAAAATCACCAACATTAGTTTTTTTTTGTTTGTATGTTTTGTGAAAGTGTGGTAAAATGCAACTTAAACTTTACTAAAAAATCAATGTGCATAACAAGTGCATCTTGCACTTTTCATAATTAACCGAAAACGCATGGCACTTCGACGAGAGTGAGAATCTCGCCTTTCACGGTCACGGGTCCGAAAAAACCATGTTAGAAGTATAAATTGTTTTGTTAAGACTGTATGAAGAAATGTCGTTCGAAGTTGTTTTCGGAGAGAACAGACGATACCAGACTAGACTCGGAAGACGAGTAAGGCGGAGATGCCGTGACGGGCATGACCGCCATCACTTCTGCAATCTTAGATTTCAGCTCGTCTATCTCTTTATCTCTCTGCATGAGAAGTACTGAAAGAGAAGAGTATATTTTTCATGTTTAAAATATGCAAGATGATAAAACATTATGTTTATTACATTACAAAACTTCTTACATTTAAAACATAAAAAATTGCAACATTTGAACTGAGATTTTGATGTTTTGAATGCATGAGAAATATTCGATAAACTTACCTTGTGCTATTTCGAGCTGACGTTTAACTTCCCCGAGTGCAGAGAAGAGATCAAGTTTTAAACGTGTCTCTGCACTCAGACTTGTTTCCAGATGAACATTTTTGTCTTGCATGGCACACAGGGCGGACATCAACACTTCTGTTTCACCGTGAGAATCTTTATATTTGCGTAAAAGCTGAAAATGGAACGTAACTCATCAGAATCTCTTTAAAACGCAAACTTACAATAATTTTGGCATTGTTTGTGTGTTACCTATAACGTACGCTTAATGCATGTGTTACCCATGGTTCCGTGTGGCAGAGCACACGCATAGGTAACATACATGAACATAAACCAAATTTTTTTTTAATTATTTAAATTTTTGTTAGTTGTTTACAAATTATTAATAATATCAATAAGTTCGCACTTCTGTTTCTCTTTCTGTCTGTTGCAGTTTCTCTTCGCACAACTTAAGCTCTCGTCTTAACTGTTTGATATCGGATTCTATCTCTCTCTGTCTCATCTTGCAATTTTCTGTGCATTCTCCCGACCTAGACAATTTGAAAATTTATAAGTCTCTCTTTATCAAAACATTAAAAATTATTTAGATTTCAATAAATAACTACTACTTTACTTTTAATATAAAATATCAAAAAATTTATTATATTGTTGTGTTAATTGAGAATTGGACTTGACAAGTTTTAAAACAAAATATAATGTATTTCACTGAACACTTGATGATACTTAGAACGTCCCAATAACAGTGACAGATTTCTGTGGAATAAAACAAATTTCATTGGTAATTCATTTTTTTATGTCCTACAGTGTCCACTAAATGTTTTCCCCCAACTGACCACATGCACGAACTCTTCACAAAATTACTTATGGACTTCCATATAATTGTGGTCGTATTCTATCTATAAACACATCAAATTTCCATCTTGAGGTCAGGAACTGTTTATGGATTGTTGGCATAGATACAAGATTTGGCCCCAAAGAAAAATGTCACAGGATGTCAAATCTGGAACTGTTAATGGGACATCTTTTATCTAATGATTTGTATATTTGTTAAATAAATTATTTTTCATCCTCCAAGCTTCTCTTACTTATTATTACTACTTAAAAAATATAAAGTAAAAAAGTCATGGTTAAACAGTCATACCTCAATTTATTGCTACCATTTGTTTCTCTCTGAAATTGGTACTTAACTGAAGCACTTGAAACAATAAGAATGTATATACAATAATGAAGTACACACAGAAATTTAAAGTTTGAATCATGAGATCTGCTAATACATATGTTGTTTGCAATGTAAAATCATACAAGCTGGTATCATAAAGTTCTCGAGCTGTAGCTAGAATAACTATCAATCATCCAAACTGTGTTTACTGGTGAAAATCACTTTCAGCTCTGCTGAGTCAGAATACTGAGTAAAATCAGAGAATGAATTGACATTCAATCATTATAAATGGTTTTGTGAATTAGTGCGAGGACCACTCTATGATGGTGAGAATGTCAAATAAATTCAAGCAATATGCATCCATCAAGTTTTGTGTCCAACTTGAGAAATCTACCATGAAGACACTCAAAATGCTTTATGGCACCATTTGTTAGGCCAAACACAGGCTTTGTGGCATTTGTATTGTTTCAAACCATGTTCATTGTTTACTGAACATTATTCACCGAGAAATTGTTCCTCCTAGTATGATAATAAATTCCGATTTTTACTTTGATACTTTGAAGCACTCGAGAAAAGATGTGCAAGGAAAAAGATTGGAACAGTGGTGCAATGGAAATTGGCCACTGCATCATGACAATGTGCCCACTCACATCTCCCAAAAGACAACACAGTTTATGATAGAAAACAAGATGATTGTCCCACACATTCTGTGACAATTGCCTTGTTACCCAAAATTAAATTGAGGCTAAAAGGGTGCTGCTTCAAGACTGTCAATGAAATCCAAATAAACTTGCAGGCAGCACGTTTGCTTCAGGAAGGAGATTTTTACAGTGTCATTGAGTCATGGAAGAGGTGCTTGATTGCCGTATACAGTCCCAAGGGAACGATTTCGAAGGGGACAGATTGGAGTAAGATAGCCCTGTAATTTTTTATAGGTTTATCCTGGAAACTTTCCAATACTATCTTGTACATTTAGAGTACCATAATCAGGATAGTGACAAGTCTTTTACTTTATATTTGTGGGAAAGATCTTTTTGTAAGCATTCATTAGTACAAGAGTGGTGCTATATTAAGTTTAGACAATTTTTAAATATTTTGCATATAGGCATTTTGTGCTTTCAAGTACAAAATGCCTATATGCCTAAATTTAGTTTAAATGCTTCTAAGACTCTCTTTGTGTCTCTATATGTAATTTAGATTACCCAAATTGCTAATACTAAATATATGTATCCATATACTAATGTAAATAATAAAATATAAGTTAGAAATTTATATATCAGATGCAAATTATATCTAAAATATTACCTGACAGTTATCATGGAAGCCTCTTTCTTATTCTTCCTTTCTGCATTCAACTGATTGTCTAATAAATTTCTAGCTTTTTTCTCTTCTTGAAGTTTTTTCTCTAACTGACCAATTGTATGTTTGTCTTGCTGTCTGGCCGTCACCAGATTATGTAATCTAAAATCACACATTAGTTAATTTTTATCTATTTCCCACCTGTTGTTTTTTCATTTAATCTAATCTGACTCACTTATTCTGAAGGTTTTCATTATCACGCTGAAGTTGGGCTAATTCATTCTTAACAGAACGCTCTCCCATAACAAGAGAGTGAATCTGAACCCTTAATTCTTGCTCGCACTGCTGACTTGTTTGTAAATCTGCACTCAAACGTTTAATGTCCGCTTCTAATCTAAAATATCAAGAATAACAATAATTTAACATGAAATGAATACGTAAAATTTTCCATAAACTTTAGCATACCTAGACATGTGATCATCTTTTTGGTTTAAATTATTATTAACAGTCACGTCCTTCGAATTATTCTTATTTCTTTTTCCACTATTTGAATGCTGAACGTTATCTTTCAGGCTGTTACACTTCCCCGATCCTTTTGAAGAAGACGTCTGACATATAGCTATACAGTTATTAGTTTTAAAAGAGGTCTTGTCGCGCTTATTGTTCTCGTCGTTTTCGTCGTAATCGTTGATGTTCGTTGATCTCTGCACGACATGACTCTCTATATATTCAAAATCAGGTTTGTCCATAGTGTGACACGTAATATGCTTTTTGACATCCTGTAAACTAAATTCAGACAAGGATGGATTATTAAATAAAACATTCTGAAGAGCCATAACCAAATTTCTTCCACTGCTGTCGTTATTGGATAACTTTTCATGAACGACACCTACACCATTAGCAACAATTTCCTCTGTTACTTTTATAGATGCTGTAAAACAGTAAGGAGTAATCAGTAATTTTATACTGATAGTAGCAATAATTATAATAATATGCTAACCTTTATCTGGAGAATTTGTTGTTGTGGAATTACTAGATTCATTTGGTAATGCTTGCTGTAAAAGTTGCATATAAAATTCATTCTCTTTGCAAACTTCTTTCTGCTTTCTCTGCAATAAAGTATTTATCAGGATGATTAAATCATATATAACTAAGAAAATGTATAAGAATGATAAATGGTATTGTATCAAATGAACAGAAATTAAACTTGTATTTAGAACTTTAAGTTCAATAAAAATTAAAAATTACACAGCGTGTTCCTAAAACAAAATCTTAAAATCCAAGTCTTGATAACTTATCTTCAGCAGTTAAAATATTGTAAACACCAAAAAATTAGCTGTTAAATATCCTAAAACATATGTCAAATAAATGTTTAATTTAGCCCAAATATAAACTAGTAAGGAGTGAAAACACGTGGATTTTAGAGATTTCAATCTACGAAAGCATTCAATTTTGTTTTGGCTTATGTATATCAAAAGAGGGTGAAACCTCAATTTAGTACCACCATTTTGTCACCCCTTTAATTAGCATTACGTTTGGTTCTACTATTTCTATAAAGTGCCATAAAACACAAGAAATGGCAACCCCCACTATAGAGAAGACATTTTGCATTCTGTGGTTTACAAAGTCAGAATCACTCTTCATTGTGTAACACAAGTAATCTGCGGGAGCAGAAGAATTGTAGCTGTCCTGAGAGGAGCAACAGCAGACACCCTATGGCAAGTGTAAGAAGAATTTGAGTATCAGTCAGCCACATTCTGTGTGACAAGCAGTGTATGTATTGAGAAATTATTGTCCTCAATTATGAACCAAACTTGCTTGTTTTGTGGGTAAAACATACATTTACTTAACACTAGAACAGCTACATATTTCAACTTATCAATTAGAACTACCAATATGGCAGAAATGTCCTGTAATGAAAAGACCCCTCCAATTAAGTTTTTTTTACAATATGTTTATTTATTTTCCAATTAGAAGTTCGGACTATATACAAAAATATATTTTATTTATTTTATTAGTCAAAAATTTTAGAACAGTTAATTGATTAGTCACAATTCACACAAGTTAAATATTTTCTTTCTGCTGCAAATATACTTTTTATAAGGGAAAGTCAATAGTAACCTTAATTATTTTTTTTATTGACAAAATATATATACGTGAATGAAAACACTTCATTACTTTTGAATGTAATTCCCACCAAATTCAATACGTGGGCCAGCACTTCACTATTGCTTGAATTCCACAAGAAAAAAAATGTTTTGGTTGAATGCACAGCTACTCACGCACTGCTGTTTTCACTCGCTGCCTGTACAGAATTTGATGCACCAAGAATGTGCTTGAATGATTCAAAAATATAATAACCACTCTGCAAAAGGTCAGGCAAATGTGGAAGACATTCCATTCGCTAATCCAAAATTTTCTGGACTGTCACACAAGATGTGGGTGTGTGGTTATGCATTGCCATGCTGTAAAAGTATACCAAATTGAGCCAACTATGACATTTTGACCTTATTGTGGGTTTCAAATGATCCTAAAGCAAGCTGTTCTGCTCACTGATAATCCTTTGGGCATATGATGCTCCAGAATTAAACCCTTCTGATCCCAGAAATGTGTGAGCATACTTTGCTTGCTCACTTAGTTTTGGCTGAAAGTGACGAACCCATGATTCATACCTGGTAACTACACTACTCGAAAACTGGATAACTACATGCTGCTCTTGTTTAGAGCATTTCTATAAGGATGCTTAAGGTTTTCTGACATCACAATCCGCATGATGCCTGGCATGCCTGCATGTGCCAAATCTGCACGCTTGAAGACGCAATATCTGAATATTATAGCATACCTAATGAAATTTAAAAGTTTTCATGATCATATTAAAGTTATTTTTTACTCACCAAGTACATACTATCTTTATAAAGATAAAGATAATCAATTTTTGCTTTCTTCTTTTATTTGGTTGGAATCATTGTTTTGTGCAGGTTCTTCAACAAGCTTCAAACAATACTCTTGTCAGGGTATTTTTATTCACGACATTTGCTTATAAGCAATCTGTCTGCTTATGGCAGCTAGATCAAGCTTGTTGTAGAATATATAAATGAGCAATCCATGCAACGCTGTCTTCACTGACTGTTTGCATGCCATCTGGACCACAACGTCCACACAGCATTTAGTATGATTGTAGTGTGTAACTGTCTCGTGTAGTTTTTCTTGCTATCTATTATAATTTGAATGTCGGGATGCTGGCTGCCCAGGATGATGACATTTTAGCTCTTCTTCTCTTGGTAAAGGATTAATTATAGTTATATACCATATATGCTTTTCAAAATTTGATGCTGTTTGCATGTTTTTTTCAGCTGTTGGTGATATATATTTCCTTATAAGATAGAATAAAAATGTTCAGAACAGTCAATTTCCTTTTAGCTTTTCCCTTTACCAGTGAAAGTGAGGTAAATAAACTCTCTCTCACAATATTTCTATCTTTATCAAGGAAAGTTTTGACCAATTTCAGGACAACGCGGTCAGAGCACTGCCGATTGTTTAGCTGCATATTTTCTGAAATGAATGAATTCAATACGTAAATACTTTGTATCTTTACCAAAAACCAGAACTTTTCATCATATTAGTATGATTTGGAAGCCATAAATTTGATAAACTACACTGAGCACAATAAAAACACAAAGAGCATAAATATAACAAAAGATTCTCATTTGGCCTTCCATACTGGTATTAATGAGAAAAGCTGGTAGCGGAACAAAGTGGAGTACACATACTGATTTGTGACTATACTTTCCATTCCACTATTATTACTTTTTGTAAAAAATATGCACCGGTATTGATGAATATTTTACAAAAAAGAATGTAAAATTTCATATCAACATTTTTAGTGGTATATTAAAGTAAATAAAAACAGTTCAAGAACAAGTATAAAATACACAAAATATGTAGCCATACAAGAATGCATTGCTCTCTACTGGTATCTACTAGACGTATATTCATATACTTAGCTTGTAAAAGAACTTACTGCACAAAAATAATGATAGAGATATACTTTCAAATAAACTCTAATGCTTAATATTGACCTGATCATAGACCAGATAAAAATTATTTCAATTGTAAAAGCATCAATATAATGAAAAAAATTTATTCTGTTGTTTTTATCAATGGCACATCATGTTCATCTGACATTAGCCTTAACGTCATTATTATGATGTTAAGGCTAATGTCGACAAGCATGATTTCACGTCTGTCATTTTTGACAGACATCACAAAATTGCAAAAACATATGGGAGTGGTCAGACGAACATGGATGTGAAAAATAATGCTGCGTTACACTGGGTCGTCCCTGATAATCTCATGACAGATATAATATGTATTAATCTATTTCTTGTATCCCTTGGATTTGTATTGCACAAAATATTCTACTGATTTAGAACAATCTTCCCATTCTTTGTAATAATTTAAATTATTTCTGTTACATTTAATATGTATTATATTTCTAACGTTCTTGTTTTCATAAGTTCCAACTGAAGAAGACTGATGGAAGTAGGTTAAAAAACATTTTTGATTAATTAAATATACTACAAGAGTTATACAAAGTGTACTGCTTATTTCGTTATAAAGCAAAACTGTTACTGAGTAATGTGGCAAGAGGCAGGCCACATAATATTAAATACAATTATAAAGTAATTTAATTTGAATTTTAGAATATTCTGGAAGAAAAGAACAACAGCCCAGAGTGGAAATGGAACACTCAATTTTTCTTTAGTGAGAGAAATATTTCCAGCAACAATAAACTTATTACACACAAATCAGGAACGAATCAGCAAAAGGTGGCAATTTGTCATAGTGCCGTACTTTCCTTAAATGTATGTTTGTTTTGTGCAATTTTGGAAAAAATATAACATTGTGGATGCCATAGGAAATAGCGACTTGGCTTGGCAAAAATTAACTGATAAATGCACGAACGGAGTGTGAAAGAAGTTATGGCTGAAGGTATCCAAGAATTTTCAACAAGAATAGCCTATCGCTGTATTATTATGTTGATCAAATTGTCAACTTGATTGATACATGAGATGTAATGTAGATGAGCAGGATATTGGGGAGTTCCTGCAGGTTTCTGGTAAGAGCCTTACCAGCAATGACTTCAAGAACTGGCACTACAAGGAATTCATGTAGAACTTGAAAATAGAGATTCTGAAAACGAAGAACCCAAACAACTTGCTACAGAATTCTTCAGTAAAAGTTTGGTAATGATAACCGAAATCATTGATCAAACTGTAGCAAACGATCCAGATTTTGAAAGGAGTGAAAAAGCAAAACGAGACATTTTGGATGTGATCTTCTGCTACTGACATTTGCTTAAGGAGAGAAAAAACCAACAAATGAAACTTCATGACTTTATTGCAAAAATAAAAAAGATTTTCAGAAAAGTCAGTACTTTCGTCACAAAAAATTAATTAAATATATTATTATACATTTCTGTGCACATATGTTTATGTGTTATTTAACATATATTATTATACAAATTAATATAAAAATAACTTAAAATTAAAGTAAATCTTTTTTTAATTTTTGGTCACGTGTTCCCCTATCCCTATTTACTCTATGTTAAAATGGTCTCATTTAACGATGTTTCGCTTAGTGCTTTGTCATCTAGGAACGCATCCCCCGCATTAAGCGGGGTCTTACTGTACTTACTGTGTGTACGTTGATGCGTAAGGTCTGTGCAGTGTTTGTAACACGGTCCTCTGTTTATACACAGATTCTGTCTATCTTGTCTCATGCAATTTAAGCTGTTATATTGTCATTATCATACACATTGTCAGTTCTATTGCTTGGAATGTAACACTACTGTACTCCATGTCTTTCTACCCCAACTGAGCCTAGCGGTGTCAGAAGAAATAAAGCTTATTTTGTCTGTTTGTCGAACTTAAAAATTTCATGACTTAGTAGTTTCAATATATATATAGAGTACTGTAACTTACATGAGCTATACATTATAAACCTGTATTATTTGTATAGATGTAGTTTTAATTTTTGGTAGAAAAATATGTATTATATATTGTTTAGTGATATTTATTTTACTGTCTTTGGCAATGTTTTCTAAAAA